TTACTAACAGTATTGTAAAGAAGATATCTGAACTTTATTACCATGTGGAGAGCTGTATCTAAAGAAAGCATTCTCTGATATGGACAGAGCCAGATGGATAGCACTTTGCCACTTCTGGAAAACACTGTGCTGCTGCCTTAGAAACCTTTGAAAATGAGGTTTCAACTCTGTCTAGGGAGTGGCTATGATTAGCAGGCTGACCTTTTGACCCGGTTGGGTGTTTTAGTTGCTCATGGGCAATCAAGATGCTTTCTGTTGGTGGTGGATTTGATAGTTCTCAAAACAATCACCATATCTCACTGAATGCTTGGCTGTGTCTACATTACATCCCTTTTCTAGAAAGAGGGATGTAAATTAGACACTTGGAAATTGCAAATGAAGCTGGGATTTAAATTTCCCGTGATTCATTTGCATAATGATGGCCACAGTTTTTTTCAAAACTGGGCTTTTTGAAAGAAAAACAGCAGTTTAGACGGGGATCGATCAAAAAGAAAAACCCTTTTTCAAAAGATCCTGTACTCCTCTTTCGAAAAAGGGTTTCATTTTTGATCAATCCCGGTCTAAACTGCTGTTGGATCCGCACTTACGAACGGGGCTTTCTTGCCCCGGAGCTCGCAGGCAGCGGGACCGCCCAGAGCGCAGCGGTCCCGCCACCTCGACCTCCGGGGCGAGAAAAGCTGCTCCGGGTGCCCCTGGTCTGCTGGGGACCGTCTCCAGTAGACCAGGGACACCTGGAGCAAAGCCGGGGAGGCGCGGGACTCCGCCACCGCTGCGGCTTTGCTCCCGGTGTCCCTGGTCTGCTGGGTGGAGGGGGCGCAGCTAGTGCGCCCTCCTCCCCAGCAGACCAGGCTTTTGTTGTGGACCCTGGGGTAGAGCAGCTGGAGTGCTGCCGGGTTAGTCCTGCAGGGGCGTGTTCCACGGCTTTGCTCCCGGTCTCCCTGGTCTGCTGGAGACCAACAGACCAGGGAGACGGGGAGAAAAGCGGAGCAAAGCCGCGGAGGACCCGGACAGCTAGTACGCCCCCCTTCCCCCCCGCAGTCCAGGGTTTTCTCCGGACGCCTGTGGTAGAGCAGCTGGGGCGCTGGTGGATTGGTCCAGTAGCGCCGAGGAGCGGCGCTACTAGAGCAACCCAGCAGCACCCCAGCTGCTCTGCCCCAGGCGTCCCCAAGTCAGCCCCCCCCCAAACCAACCAGCGGCTGACTACTGGGAGCCCGCAGCACAACTCTGGGTGCTACTGGACCAACCCGGCAGCACCCCAGCTGCTCTGCCCCGGGCTTCCTGGAATCAGCCGCTGATCAGTTTCAGCAGCAGCTGACTTGGGGACACCTGGGGTTCTTAAGTTGAATCTGTATGTAAGTCGGAACTGGTGTCCAGATTCAGCCTGTTGAAACTGATCAGAGGCTGATTCCAGGAAGCCTGGGGCAGAGCAACTCTGCCTTAGGCTTCCTGTAGTCAGCTGCTGGTCATTTTCAGCAGCGGCTGAATCTGGATGCCAGTTCTGACTGACTTACAGATTCAACTTAGGGACTGTAGATTTATTATCTTGTACATAACCCGGGGACTGCCTGTACATCCCTTTTTTGATAAAAGGGATGTAATCTAGACACAGCCCTTATTAATGAGACAATGTTAACCTATTTTTCTGGGGAATGAAGTCTGTCTTTCTGGGAAAACTGGAATTGATTGAGTGGGGGAAAATGGTAGTTTGATATGATTTGAAGGTTGACCCAGTCTGCCAGCAGGCTTATTAGTACCTGAAACCAGAGGCATCTGTCTCACCAGCAGACTAAAAATAGTATCTATGATTTGTTCTGCTTTACCTTCTTAAGCACTGGTGGTGCAGTAGGTGGGAGTAAGATTGGAAGGAGCAGCGTCTTGGCTCTTGGCCTGATCTTTAGACCAAAGTACTAACATATTTACACCAGAGCCTGAATGTGCAGAGAGAAAGGAAAATAGATCAGTTTACTCTGTAACAGTCAATCATTGAGATTTCAGGATGCAGCATATTTGCTTAAAGTTGAAGATATTGAAATATCGTTCACTGATGATTTCAGCTGAACTGACCTTCCAATTTTCCCCACTAGTAGACTTCCTAGAGTGACAAGAAAGAAGTAAGACTCTGCCCAGATGCAGGAGAGGGATGTGCACTTGATCGCTGTTTGCTTAGTCTAGTTGCCAGGCTGCATCAGAAGGTACCTGTGAAAGTACAGTACCTTTTGTGTCTGAAGGGCTAAGATGGTCTGAGGCTCAAGTCAACTGATGATTAGTCTGTTTGGGAAGGGACTAAGTCTGCTGGTATGGGGGAATGCTGGTGCAAATCATATCCTGGGATTGGTATCCATGGTAAGAAACTAGAAGAGGTTAGCAAAAGAAGGACCTGCCCTGTTACGGGGTAAGTTAGAACATCTGAAAAGAAAGAAGACCTAACTGGTTTAAAAAAAAAAATAAGGAATTACTTGAAGAAAGAAGTAGAGTGCTATTGGACCAGAGAGAAGTATTGTAGACACTCAGTGTAACTCACCGCAGGCAACAAAGTGGTTCAGAAGGCAAAGAAAGGCTTTGGCCATAGTATTTCATGTCTTGACCTATTAGAGTAGACTGCTAAAACCTATCTGGAGAAATGTGGCCTTTTGTCAAGTCACAGGATCATGAGGACCTGAAAGAAGCGCATATGAATTGTCCTGATTGATTAGGAAGGCCTGGGATGCATGGTACTACAGAACCTTGTCCCATGACCACTTCAACAGGGCTTTGATCAGGATGTGTATATCCTAATTAGCCACTAGAATTGCTAGGTTCTTGTGAAGTTCAAGAGGGATAGATGAAAATCAAGAACATATGACATTTCAGTCATGTCACTTAGTGCAGTATTAGAAAGTACTCAGATGCTGCAGGGAAGAGGATGGTGTAAAAAAAACTATACACAGTAAAACTCTGATGGTCCGGCACTCCTGATGGTCCGGCACCATCAGGAACCCGGAAGGGCTCCGGGCAGCCGGACCATTGGAGCTGCTCTGCCCCCAGGCTCCCCGATTCAGCCACTGCTAAAACTGACCAGCGGCTGAATCGGGGACGCCTAGGGCACAGCAGCTGGGATGCTGCCGGGTTGGTCCCATAGTGCTGCCCCTCGGGGCTGCGGGACCCAACCCAGCAGCGCCCCACCTGAAAACTGATGAGGGGCTGATTCCCGGAAGCCCGAGGCAGAGCAGCTCCTGGAGTCAGCCCCTGATCAGTTTCAGCAGCGGCTGAATCGGGGACACCTGGGGTAGAGCAGCTGGGGTGCTGCTGTGTTGGTCCAGTAGTGCCGAGGAGCGGCGCTGCGGGACCAACCCGGCAGCACCCTAGCTGCTCTGCCCCAGGCGTCCCCAAGAGCAACTGGGGTGCTGCCGGGTTGGTCTCGCAGCGCCAAGGGTCAGCGCTACCAGACCAACCCCGCAGCACTCCAGCTGCTCTGCCCCAGGAGTCCCTGATTCAGCCGCTGCTGAAACTGACCAGCAGCGGCTGAATCAGGGACGCCTGGGGCAGAACCGGACTATCGGAAGGGGGGGCTACGAGGGGTCTGGGGTGGCATCCTGCCCCCATCCCAGACCTCTCATAGCCCCCCCTTCTGATAGTCCAGCAAATCTGATAATCCGGCACCCCCGGGGTCCTAAAGGTGCCGGATTATCGGAAGTTTACTGTAGATTAGAGTGAAGAAATCGGTGATAAATTGGTAGAGTTAGCCAAGAGCCAAGTGGAGAACATTGCAATGGCCCCAGTGAAATGGAACATGGAGATGGGTAGGTATTCTGAAGGTAAGCTGAGCAATAGAAACTTGCCTGTATGAACAATAGGCAAGGAGTGTTAGGGCTTCCATCCAAACCTTTCATATGCACAAATTCAGGAAGTAGCTGTCAAGGGTGATCTTCAAGACTTCATATTCCTGTGGGTGAGAGAGTAATGTAAATAAAACCCTGAGTTGACCCATCCTGATTGCTTATAGGAACTGATAGAATGACTCTTATCCAGAAAATCTGAAATTTTTTTATGGTTTGTGAGGCCTACAGGGATGAAGAGAAAGCAGCAGTGAGAGAGCACCAAGAAAAACAAGACTTTCAAGTTGTTAACTCATCTGTTTGTCCTGAGAGAGGGCCATTTTTGATTTTTCCACTTAAAACAAAGGTGGAAGTTGAGCCAGCCTGATCTCAGCAGGGCTGCTTGTGTTTAGTAGTCAGCAGAGGAGGTGAGGGTTCTGCCGAAGTCTCCTTTTTTGGGTGAAAGGTGTCCTGAAAAGATCAGGAAACTATGAAAGTGCAAGGCAGGATAGCATAAATGTAAGGAGTAGGCAGTGTCTAAATTGCAGTGGAAGGCGCAGAAAGGACTTGATGGGTTGCTGTGTTATAAGTATATCTGATATTTTGTTAAGTTCATTTTGAATTAGCTAAATACATATCAAAGCACTGTTAAATATAACTTTTATACAATTATTAAATACAATAATTGGTGCTCCCTAATTCTTTGATTGTATTAATGCATACAGCCAAGGATCGCAGTAAAATGTTTCATATCATATTTATTCTTGGATTTTTACTTTAGTCGGCCACCAACTTGCCATCATACCAGCCAAGAGAGACACAGTTGTCACTTTGGCCCTTGCCCTGCATGTCGTCAGCCCTGCCGGAAAGTGTTAAAGTGCGGCCACTTATGTCCTGCTTCTTGCCATGATGAAGCTCTTGTGAAGCAAACTGGCTTGGTAAGGTGCTAGAACTCTGCTTCCCAAGAAGAATGGGGAACACTCCTGTCCCTGATTTTATGTTGGAAAGCATAGCTATTAGAAGTAAATATTTAGGGTTGAATATGCTGTGTGATACTAACTTGAGAAATTAGAATTGTGATTCTCTTTGCCTTGTTTAAAATCTAATTTCTCTTTGTATGGCCATAAATGACACTTGACAGTTCATATACGTCCACAGGTAAATCAAGAGTCTTCCTTTTCTTTCCTCTTCCTCTGTTCTTTAAAACTATCGACAAACTTATTTAATATATTGTATGCAGAATCAGCATACGCCTTAATTTTTGTCTCTATTAAAATTGGTTAGCTTCTAGGTATTTGCTAAATGATCATGTTAGGAAGCAGTTCAAAATAGGAAACTATACATTGACGCTTTTAGACTTTAAGCTTCATGTGAAAAGTAGACAACATCAAAATATAGTAATACTCCTGGAACAGAGTGTATTGACCAGGTGAGAGAGCACTGTTAAATTACACATCCTTTCCCTGTAATGTTTGGAATGATATGACTAATTTTTTTACTTGCCCTTGTTGTCAGGTTAACAGTAAGATATGCTAGGGAATGAAATAGTGGCTTTTATAATAAAGCTGTCTGGATTTCAGGCTCATGTTCTTAGTAATACTAAAAAATGAAATGATTATCCAGAAATCTACTGTATTCATGTCTTAGTTTCAGTAAGTATAATTTCTTCAGTTAAGGGAAAAATAAACCTGTTAGAACTAAGATCTTACCAGTCATTATGGATATTTTTAGCTAAACAGATGGCTCTGCTTGTCGCCACAGCTTATATGATGTAATATAAACATAGCAATGTATTTGTTTTGCTTTCAGCACCAACCTGCTGGTCCCTGGGAACAGCCATCTGAGCCAACTTTTATTCAAACTTCATTACCTTGCCCCCTGTGTCAGGTTCCTATACCAACGTAAGTATAAAAATGTTGTGGGGTTTGTTTTTTGGAGTGTTTTTTTTATTTTTGCTTTGAAATAGTATCATTTTATACTGCTATATAATATTTAAAGCATCAATTTCTTTTGTGCTTTAGAATTTTACAAGGATTTGTACTCATGAAGCCTGTTATATTTTTGATGGAAATGGTATAATCTCAGAAGGCAGGGAATTTCTTTCGGTGGCCAATAGTTAGCATCCTGGAATTGTCTGCTCAGTGCAAAAAAGGATGAATAGAAAGAGTAAAATAAGTGCCTGATTTTAAAATATTTGTAAACAAATGCACAAAGCTATGTTGAAAATATTTTATAAATACGGGACTCAGGCACAGAAATATGATGATTTTTTTTCCAGAATACATAACGTTGTATAGCATTTCATGCTCAAAGGACAGCTCCCATTGACTTCACTCACAACTGTGGATGTCCAGAACTGGTGCAAATCCGAATCCAATGTCTCATATCCGTTACCCAACAAATGAGGAATGCACAGTTAGTGACCACCTGTGAAATGACTTGACTAGCATCACACAGGAAATATGTTGTGGAGAGGCTCTGATGACTTAGTCTATCCGTACTATATTGTAATTCTGTGTTAGACTATGAAATGTATGTATCTTTTGGTCTCCATTTTGAATGTACATCTCATTTGTCCTTTCATATTGTTTGTTGCCTCCATTTTAGACTAAAATTCCAACAGAATGGCAGAGGTACAGGCGCTAAGTGTACATCTAAACTACTCTCTATTTTTGAAAAAGGAATTTGCATATCTGAAGATATGCAAATCTTCAGATCTCTCACTTTCAAAAGCAGAGCTTTCGAAAATGAAAGTAGTCTGGACGTGGTTTTTTTGGGGAAAACCCCCCTATTTTGGTGTTTTTTTTTTCCGTGGCAATTGACATATTCTTTATAGAAGATACCCTAAATCTTCATGGCTTTTCCATTGAAATGGAGTAGCTGTAAACAATATGCTGTATCTTCATCACAAGAACTTGGTTTATTGTTGGGGATGCAATCCGGCAACCAAGTTACCTGTGGAGTCTGATTCTGGGAGTCATTTGACAAGGACAGAAAGGTTATAAAAAGATGGGAACTGCTCTTTTCAGGGTTCTTTTTGGTCAATTTTACTAGTTCAAGATGATGGACACTACTGTGGGCACTAGCTGAGGCAAATGGACTCGCGGAGACCTGCCGCCTTAAATGCAGGTGATCCCAAAGGACTCCCAAAAAGAGGGTGAACTTGTGTGTGGGGCACTGCATGTAGAGTTTCTTTAAAATAATCATATTTTTTTAATTGAGTAATTAAAGAATAAAGTGTGAGATGTGTATGTATGTTACGTGCTTACAACTATAACATGCCTCCAGAGAGAGTTAAACTGTAACTAAGATGGAGCGTGCCTTGGGTGGAACTGTGGGAGAGGGTATGCTCAAGTTCATGAGGTATCTTGGAAGGCCAGATCGGTCATGGGGCTTAAGGTAGGTGGGTTAATGGACTCCATTTCCAGTAAGGAGTAGCAGACAGAGTCGGTGCCCAGGAAATATGCCACAGTGTTTAAGGGAGGAAATAGCGTGTTAACCTTAGACGCAGGGAGACTTAAAACACGTGAGAGGATAGAAGCTGGGATTTCCTTCATAGCAGTTTGTTGTTGGGCAGCCTGCAGAGAGAGCCCAAACAGATGAGACAGGCCTGCATAGAATCAACAGTAGTTGTTGCCAGATGCCATCATCTATCCTAAATTCTTCCATGTTCTTTAGCCAGAACTGAGAATTGGAGTCATTGTATTTTGAGTGTGCCTACACTGCAGAGTTTTTCCGGGAAAAACAGTTGTTTTTCCGGGAAAAACTACACTTACGTCCATGCTGCAATTGCGTTCAGAAAGTCGAAAGAATGCAGGGGTTTTTCCAACAGCAGTAAACCTCTTTCTATGAAGGAGAAGCCTTTTTCTGAAAGAGCTCTTTCGGGAAAAGGCGTGTGTGGATGGGGAAGAGGGGTTTTTGTCAAAAGAAGATGTCTCTAGGAAAAAGCACGGGTACCCTGGTGGCCACTCCATCCATAGTAATCACAAGTTAAATGTGAGATAACATCCTCATTGATTGGACGCTATCTTTTGAAAAAGCAGATCACTTTTTCGATGCGCTTTTGTGTGTGGAGGCTCTCTTTTGAAAAGTTTTTCTGGAAGATCACTCCAAAAGAAGCCTGCAGTCTAGATGTAGCAGTTGAAACAATAAACCAGAGAAATGTCAGCAATAAAGATAACACACTTTTTTTATACAGCCTTGCAGGCTCTGCAGTTGGAATAATTGATTCTGGGATTCTGTCTATGAAAACATCAGAAAGTAGAATCCAAATAATCTCTAATTTTCCATTCTTAACGTATGGATAAGAAAATCGAACAGTTCACTGAAATAATTGTGCTACAGAAATAGTGTGAATGTTGAACTCCTCCTTTGATCTTGATGTGGTGCCAGGTAGAGCCTCCCTCCATGAAATTCTTGCTGAAAGGATGTGGTGGTAGGGGAGAATTAAAGCAAGTAGACCAGTGAGCACCTTTGTTAAAATGTGCTTGAGGCCATATTTAGGAATGCCCTTAAATTTGTGTGAACTCTCAGCCTATGTCTATATTAGCACTTTTGCTGGTATAATTTATGACTCTTGGGAATGTGAATAAAACACTTCTGTGAGTGAGAAGTTGCACTGAGAGAAGCACCGATGTGAACAGTTACCATTGCACAGTGGTGGTGGTTTAATTATATCAACTGGTGAGTTCTGAGCTCTCTGCCATTGGCAGAGAGTGGCTACACGGGCTGTACAGCAGCACAGCTGCATTGGTACAGCTGTGTTGTAAGCTCACTAGTGTAGGCATGGCCCTAGAGAAGATGGAACGAAGTAGAAAAGTTATGTGTATTTGTGGAACTGGCAGCCTGAATTTGGCACACTGGCTTATAACAGATTCTTTCCCATTGCTTCAGATGCCTTATTGTTCTAAGGAATGCAGCTGTTTGCAATTCTTTTTTTTTTTTTTTCTTTTCTGCAGGGAATGCCTTGGGCAGCATGAGGTAAGTCACAGATAAATGACCATTTGAGTGAAATATGCTTTGTTTTGATTAGTTTTTGTAAGAACTAATCTGCCTTAAAATCTATGATGTGTTTTTATATGAGTGCTGGCATGCTCATTAGGACAATATTATTGCACGGTATTAGAAAATGTGTAACATTAAACTTTGATCAAGCAATCTAAAATTCTAAGCTCTTGGCTTTTTAGACTACCTTTTATACAGCTTATTTAGGTAAAATGCTCTTGGACTAGGACTAGTGAGTGTGTTTAATGAATGCTGTCTCTTTCTTTAAATATTTCACTCCTTTTTCAATGGGTTACATGTAAGCACTGTTTCTTCTTTGAGTTCTGGCTTATGTCCATTCCACTTAGGTGTGCACACACCGTGTGTGTGTTTTGCCAGAGAGTTTTCCCTTAGCGGTACCCATCAGGCCAGCCGGGGAGCCCCCAGTAGTGGCACCACTGCATTGGTGCATATATATCCCTGCTGGCCCTCCACCCACTTAGCTCCTTCTTACCTCCCGTGACAGTTGTTGGAGCTCCCTTCTCGCTTGCCAAGCGTGATCTCAGCAGTATCTATTGCATTCTCAGTAGTTAGCACCTTGTTGAACCCCTTTGTTTTCTTACCCAAGTTACCTTCCCTGTTAGTTAGATAGTTATGTAGTTTGGGTTGGGACTCGCCTGTTGCTTCCCCTTGTCCAGCCCACAGGGCATGCCAGGGTGCTACGGTTTTAAGCCCTGCACTGGCTGTTCCAAGCTTGTGCCTTGTGGTGACCCACACGATTAGTGCTTGGGCAAGGCCCGTGTCCCGGCTAACTGTAGAATCTGTTATAGTTTCAAGCCCAGAACTCCACACGAGAGGAACTTGCACTTGAAGATACTCCTTATGGAGTCGGTGCTTTTCCTGGCACTGTCATTGGACTCAGCATCGCAATCCCACAGTGCATTGCCCTCGGTGCAGGAGACTCCTGGTTCCTTAGGGGCCTCCTCAGTGTTGAGGCACCCCATGGCGCAACGTCGCTCACAGTCACCAGTGCAGAGCAAGAAGAGTGGAGAGGGGCAGGTCACCGTCCTACTGTGTGCCTGAGGTGCGCCCCAGTTGGGGCACCCTGATGTGCCCACACCGGCTGCAAGGTCAACGACTCCTGGGCTGGAGAGTGGCCAGTCGAGCATGACCAGGAGCTGTGGTGCAGGGTAGAAGTTGTCTCAGGTCCAAATAGCCTTCCACTCTGGATACATTTGAGGCGGCGTGGAAGCTGATTGAGTTGATGGCTGACTTGCCCTCGCCTCACCCAAAGTGTCGGAACTGGTCTCTGGCCTCGTCAACAGCACCGGATCCAGGTAGGCCCGTACCACCACCCATACCAGCACGCCATGAGGCATGGTGTTCCCCAGCCTTGATGCTAATGCCGGCATGCCCTGTGGCACCAACAGCTTTGCGCACTCAGGAGTCCAGAGACAGCTTGGCATCAAGCACGCTCATTTCGGTGGCCCAGTTGGTGGCACCGGAGTGACTCATGCCTCCTTTGCCGGTATGGCACTGGGGCAAGCCTGCCTCCATGGCCCCGCATGCAGAGAGGCTTCAGTCCCCATGCCTGACCTCTGCACTGCCGTGGTCAGATTCTGATTACTTGTCGGAGTCTGATGTGGAGTCTGTACCATCAAGGGCGTCCCGGTCCCAGTATCATTCTCGTTCTCACTCTTGGCACTGCTCCTCCTCCTGGCACTGGTCAAAATCTCTGTGCCAATCCCCATTCCAGCACCACTCTTCATTTCGGCGCTGCTCCAAGTCTCGGCGCCATTCCCAATCATGGTGTAGCGAGCACTAGCACAAACTTGGCCTCACAGCGGCAACAGCCAAAGCAGCAGCCGTTCTGTACCCCCTGGGCGTACCATCAGGCCCAGAGGAGCATCCTCTCTATGGCAGGATCTGCGCATTTGGGGATTAGAGCCTTACCTTCGGCCACTCCGCTGATGAGTGCTCCGGCACCGCAGCCCTTCATGGTACCCGGGGGAATGTGGGGAGTCAGAGGTCAGGGGCTGTTGGAGCAGTGTGCCCCATCTCAAGCGTCCAAGTGGCCTCATGAAAGGGAAGACTTGACAGTGCGGGAATACTCGTCCTTCCTGGATGAGGCCCTAGGGTTAGCCTCAGCGTCAACTCCAGCTATGGACTCGCGGGCCCATCAAGAACTCCTTCAGAGATTGGCCCAGAGCTCTGGGGTCGACTGATCTGCGTCTTGACTCGCGTGCTGTGCCGACAATCAGCTGAGCCAGCACAGTGCGGCAGCCACTTTTATTTTAATGAAGCCGGGGATATTTAAATCCCCGCTTCTATGACTGTTGGGTAGCCTATTTCCTCTGCCAACAGAGGCATGTAGTCTAGACATACCCCTAGTGGCTATTACCCCTCACCCAGGTGAATGTCAGAACTCAGGGCCCTACTTGTAGATCCCCCGTATACAGTCCTCTTTAAAGATAAGGTCAGGCTGCATCCCCACCCAGTGTTTCTGCCTAAGGTGGGATCATATTTCCATGTTCATCAGGAAATATTTCTCCCTGTGTTTTTACCCCAAACCCTGTTGCTTGGGGGCAGAACAGGCATTGCACACACTTCATGTAGTTGTGCATTAGCTTTTTATTTGGAGAGCTCCAAGTCCTTCTGTAAGTCTCCCCAGTTGTTTGTAGCATAAGGAGAAAGGGTCAGCCAGTGTCGGCTCAGCAGATCTCATTCTGGATTTTAGACTGAATCAGAGAGTGCTACCAGCTGTCACGGGTTCTGGCTCCTCTCATTAGAACACACTCCATGAGGGTGCAAGCCTCTTCCATGGCCTTTACAGCCCAGTGCCCGTCATTGAGATCTGCAGGGCTGCTACCTGGTCCTCAGTGCACACTTTTGCAGATCACTGTTAGCTTTGGAGTCACCTAAGTGGAATGGACATGAGCAAGCACTTGAAGAAAAAACAGTTACTTAATTTGTAACTGTTGTTCTTCAAGATGTTTTGCTCATGTCCATCCCACCCATCTACCCTGTGTCGGAGCATTCCGGCAAGAAGGAACTGAGGGGGTGGCGGGCCAGCGGGGATATGTATGCACCGATATAGCGGCTCCACTCCAGGAGGCTCCCTGGCTGGCCCAACGGGTACTGCTAAGGGAAAACTCTCTGGCAAACCTTGCACATGGCATGTGCACACCTAAGTGGAATGGACATGAGTAACACATCACTTCATAACTCTTGTTCTTAGAAAGTGACCATTTTTCCTCTCTTCGTGTAAAATTTTCTTGTTCAAGTAGCTACTATCACTACAATATTCTTCAGAAGGGGGGAGACTTTGCATTACATATGGGACAGTAAATTGTGCCTTGGTGTGGGTTATATTTAGATGCAGAGTGGGAAGAATGGACAACATGATAGACTCTGCTATGAGTGATCCTGCCATTTTACTATTTTACTTCAAGCTTTTTCTCAGTCTACAATGAGTATGCACTTACTGCAATCTGAGTGTAGTGGGGTTTTGTCCTCCTAGGAGGAAGAAAAGGGGTAGTAGCTCTGTAAAGGTTCTCTCATTGCCTTTGGGTTATTGAAACAAGGGTAGATCCTAAAGCCAAGGTCAACTGGAAGAGGCTGGCTCAGATGAGACATTACCTAACCCAGTACACACAATGGTCAATAAGATTAGGTCAAGTTGTTTCAGCGTAGAGGTTACAAGAGTCCAGTGCATATAGGGAATCCAGTTCTTCATAAAACTGAAAATGGAGTGTGGACTTTCAGGAAAGCATCCATTAATAGGAAATGGGGGTTGTTTCTCCTAATTTCTGGTGCCATCAGGCAACAGCCCCCATCTTCCTATTGCCTCCACTATGAGTGGAAGGTGAATAGGGTATCAGCAATGGGTAGAGAGCAGACCGGTAGGGAAGAGGGCTGATAGCAGCCCTCCCAAATAGATGGGAAGTGGGAATAATTGAAGAATGATGCCTGTGCTATCTGACCGAATGCAGAGAATTTTCCATGTGAGTTATGTTCATAAAATTGCTAATTAAATCACATCTGCTGCATTTTATTTTTCTTCCTTCACAGCTAGAACATTTCCATTCATTTGACTTGAAAATTCCTGTGTCTCTTTTATATCTCAGTGCTGTGTAATGTGTTCAGTATATGTCACTCCTTATGGCACAGTCCCAATCAGAACAATGTCATCTTCCCTCCATTTGGCCCACCCACAGTAGAAATATTTGTGGACTTTGAGACGTATATCATAGTAAGTCATATAAATTGTACTGTCATCAAATGCAAAAGTGACATAAATAGACCCTCACATATTTGAAAGCTGCATGTACTTACAACCCTTTGACTTCTAAAGCCTGGTGTATAGACTGTTAAAAAAACCTATACAGAAAAATACATAAGATGAATCTTCCATAAACGTATATATGGTAACTAAACATAATCTAATAAATCATGTAGATTAGCCTGGTAGACTAGAAATATGTTGGATTTTTATCCACACTCTTCTACAGATAATAGTTCACTTGTGCCAATGAAATAAGAACAAATGCACTTGTTATTACAGAATACATGGTGTCTTAGGTAACCCATTGAATACCTATTTGAAATAAGGGTGGCTTTTTCAGAAGATTACTGTTCAAGCAGAATGCCCCTCAAAAGAAAAATGTGATGTGAAGAATGTATGTGCACCTCTTTTTCAAAAGATAGTGCCTTTCATCTTTGTGTATGGAATACTCTCAATGCCAAAACTTGTAGGTTTATCATAAGTACAGTTTATTTCAATCCTAAACAATTCCTCATCATGGTCAGGATTTGATGCATTATTGAAGCTTCATGCATTGATACATGAACAAAATTTGAGTCAGAATAAAGACCCAATGCCAGTTATGTCATTTAATCATCTTCCTCTATATATCTATATGGAAGGAAAACCGAATTTATGTCTAGGACTCTATATTGAGAGAGAGAGAGAGAGCACCTTCACCCTGGAAGAGTTA